AAATTTGGATGAAGAAGAATTTAGATTTCAAGAGGAATAAGGTATTGAATGGAAACATTCTTATAGAAAGACATTTAAATTATGTCATGGACTTAGCTTGGATCCTTAGGAAGTAGGCTTCAGAATGATGCTATAAAACATCCAAATCATGCTGGTTAAAGAACATCTTCAGAGGATCACTAAATACAAGTAGGATGTGAAAAAATAAAATATGGAAGAAAATAATTAAATCTTATTTTTGTATTGTATCTTATTTTTGCATTGATCTTATTTATTTTTTATTATAAGTTTTTGAAGAGAAGAGTTTAGTCACAGGAAAAATAATATAATATTTAAAGGGAAGAATCAAAATATGTACAATCAGGAAAATAGGAAAAATAAGTACACATGTTCATCTGAGTGCATACACATTGGTCTCAAAAGGTACAAAGATTATGAAAAAGAAATCAGCATCCCTTGCAGCTATATGTCTACAGGGAGGATGAAGAGAAAATACTGCGATCTGTATCAAAGAGCTCATGCTGTTAAAACCATGTATCCATGCTCTGGGATAATGTCCAATTTTGTCACCTGGAGCAGGGATATAACAGCATGTTCCTGTATGTTAAGGAAAAAGACTGACTATGATTTCTGGCTGCAGTGAAAAGCTTCTTCCAATGAATACCCTATGCTATGGCAAATAGCATTTTGAGAAATGCCTATAGACTCAGGTGTTTAGCAGAAAATTGTGAAATGAGTTCAGTGCACAGGATAAGTAACTGGTAAAAATGTAGCAAAGCTGGAAAATAGAGTTCTGAATTAAAGGAAGAAACAACAGTTGATCTCCAAAATAGATGCAACTTAACACATTTATTATTTTGTAGACATAAATGTGAAATTATTATTGATGACTTTTATTTACCTCTGGACTATAGTTGGTTCTGACTCACAAATCCAGTATGTCATTTACAAAGAATTATCTGTTGTAATTTTTATAAAAGAAGAAATATTTCCATAACTTCAGGTCCATTGCAGTGTTTGGACTGATAGTGATTTATCTACATATAAATGCAATGCAAGAATCTATTTTTACTCTGGTATGTTATCTGCAAATGTGTAGAAATAGCTTTTGATTTGACCACAGAGAATATAAATTCATAGGAGTAGTTAGGCTAGTGGATGAATGAAGCACGTTTAAGATTGAATTCCAAATCTTAGTCATAGTGCTTGCTATTCAACCCAAGATACATTTAATATTAATTTGCTCTATGAAAGACGTTAAATTATTGCACGTATTTTCCAGACTAGTAGCAGGTGTTACAACAACAAACCAACATTTGTCAGTTGAATAAAGTTTTCTTGCAAAGACTCTTGTCTGTAGCTGAAACAAATTAGAAGGTAACTAAATAGCCGCTTGAAAGAAATGCTTTCGAGTTTTTTCATCTCCTTAATTTTCATGTGTTATTATAACTTTAAGACTATGCTTTCTCCTAGTTGACTTTAATTACATCATTTTTCTGCTGTTACATAACATAATCTTTGAACATAAAATCAGAGTCCCATTTATTGTTTTGTTTTTATTTGTCTCTGGTATTACAGTAAAGAATATTAATATTAGCTTTTTTAAATGGTTTATGAAAGAGCTATGCTTAATCAGATACAATCAGAAAACAACTTAAATAGGGTCATGCACTACTTACAATTGAGGTAAGTTCTGAAAAGTGCAGCATTAGGCAATTTCATTGTTAGGCAAACATTGTAGAATGCTCTTACACGAACCTCAAGCTTATTTGGTATAACCTACTGAACACCTAGGCTGTATGGAGAGCCTGTTGCTGCTGGACTACAGACAGTGTGTTATGGTACTAAATACTGCGCCATGGCGATTGTAACCCAATGGTATTTCTATCTAAACACAGAAAATGTGCAATACATGTGATCATCCAGTCACTGGAAGATCATTAGGTGGTGTATGACAGCATTTGTTTTCTTCAAAATTATGTTGTTGGACATTTGTTTTTCTGGATGTAGACTGGCTATGGTTATTAGTTTTGTAGTACTAGCTCAGGTATTACAACGTTTCAAATGTTCTAACTTTTAGTTTCAATTGCTAAAGTAAGACTTCTAAGGGAGACTTATTAGACAGCAGAGGGAGAATGTGGGAAGGGTGATGGGGGATGTAAGAGATGAGGGGAGGTGTAACAGATGTAATGGAAATATATCAGGGGATACATGAAAATACTGCACTGAAACCCAATTCTTTGTGAAAATAACAGGCACTGATAAAACACATTTAAATGGTAATAAATGGCCCGTTCAAAGCTTGGTCCTTTCCACCTCACATTTGACCAAGAGTGGGAAATGTGAAATATTTTTGTTTTCCATCCACCTTTCTTCAAATTCCTTGTGCTCACCTAATTTAGAAGTGAGGAAGAATGTGAAAGCTTTATTTAATAAATAAAAGTGTCTTTAAATTGTCAATCTTGCATCTCTCTGGGCTGTTGCATACCCCCTTTCACGCCACGAGTCAAATTGAGGCTTTCCTCCATTTTTCCACCTCCCCAGGAACATCCTCTTGGCCCCTTTTGCTGCTGCATCAGTAGAAATTCCTCACTCTTCTACCAACTTCCCGTGGGCTGCTGTCCCCCCACTGCATTCCTAGAAAACAAACCCAGAGGCCACCTAGTGGGGCCTTTCCAGATGGCCACGTCACCACTGGGAACCTCTGTGCTTCAGCCTTGTGTCCAAACTTGCCACTGGTAAAGATCTTGCACCCTCCTCCACCAGGGCACAGTCAGCCACAAACTAGCATCTTTGATCCACAAATCTAGAGTCACACCAAACACATGAAGAATATTTTCAATGTGTGTTTGGGGAATGACACTGTAGATCCTTTGAGTTTCCATAAATCAGGAAAACTTGCATCACAAGAGGAGGCAGCCTGCATCTCTTCTTCTGCAAAGCCTTCCCAGTCCTTCTAAGGAGTTCTTTTCTTGTACTTCTTCCCGAGGACTTGGGGAATATGTTAATATCCAGCCTCACAGAGAAAGGAGGGAAATTCTACAGTGTTATTTACTCTGATAAAATTGCTTCAGAGAAATTTACAATCAATGAATTCCGATCCTGCCTCGTGATTTCTTGAACTTGCAATGGCAGTCCAATATGACCATGTCTTACTAAACTCTAAAAACTTGCATACGTTACTTTCCTTCAAATGAATAGGTGGATCTTTTTAACTTATGTTTTTTGTTTGTTTGTTTGTTTGTTTCTTCAAATGTGAGACTACAGCCAGTACTTCTAGGAAAAATAAAAAGATAAATCATCTTTTCTGGCATTATATAATATCTGTTTACCATTTCCCTAAATTTCACAACCCCTTACAAAGATGTAATTCTTCCTTATAAAGCCAGAATAACTTGGTATTTAGTGCTTTACAATAATAGATTAACGGTTAAACATTATGGGGATGGTTTCACTGAAAAATCTCTTATGCCTAGAAATGCATAGAAACTAGAAATTCTTTTTGATCAGATATCATAAAAGTCACTGTTCAGGCTAGATTCTCTAAGCTAAATAAATAACAAAACAAAAGATACATAAATGAAAGTTGAAAACACAATGGCAGTGTAAAAGTTGTTAATAAAACGAAATAATTGTGCTCAGGAAGGCACCTTAAGTCTAATGTGCTGGGCCAGTGGGGTAGTAGAGTGAAAGCTGTCCCAGAGTTATCCTGTCTGAGCATTGTAATACCAGACCAGAGCATTGCAGCTTAAGTCAATCGGGGGTGAGGTTAAAACTCATGAACATTTGTAGCTCTGTGGCCTAAGGGGGTCTAATCAAAGCACTAACATGATACTGTTGGCTGTAGTCCTGAAAGTAAAAAAAACACTGCAGAATTTCCTCTAGATAGATAGATAGATAGATAGATAGATAGATAGATAGAGATAGATAAATATTTGAATTTGGATATGAAGGAGTAGAATAAAAATGAGATTGATATATCATGGGACTATAATATAGGTCCTATATTGTAGTATTGGTAATTCTGAATGCTTTTCCTGGAAGCTTTCTTCTGCAAGCTAGGGATAAACAGGGACAATTATTACCTCCTCACCATGGTGAATGGATAAACATTTCATTAACATCTCTATAATTATGATACCTCAATGTACAAGGTAATACTGTACAAGATAGCTTAATAGGATGCAGTTACTATGAAAATAATTTCTGTACTGATATCACATTGAAAAATTTCTGGACAAATTAAAATTTGTGGTTCGACAATTCAAAGGACTAGGAGACATCATAGATAAAAACATATTAAAAAGACATAGAGAAGAATTTGAAGAAAATAAGCTAAGTGAAGAAATCAGGTTGATAAAAGGAAGGAAAAGAGTGAGTGGCTGTTGGTGAGGGAAAGAGTAAGAAGAAAGGAAAACCTGCAGAGATAGCCAGAATATATCATTGATTTTTTAAGTATAGATTCATTTCAGCAGAAGCTGGCAATTGCTGAACAGACAACATCATGATATAGATTTGATTTGTGCAATTGTTTCAAGTTTCATTAAAGTATTTAGTCTCTTTTTTGATCAAATTAGAATATTAATAGTGAAATATCCATTCTATACCTAATTTGTTCTTATAGTGACAGCAATTCAAGCTGTAAAATCTGATTTCTAAAGCTGAGGTAGTAATATCTTTTGGGGAGGAGAAAACAAAATATTGAACAATTTGACAAAGCTAGGAAAGTAATTCAGTGGTGGTGCATTTGCTTGCCTAATGTTTATGAAGTTCAGCGTTCGATACTCATCACAACAAAAGAAAGGATAGATGAAAGTAGTTTAGGTAAAAAGAAATAATGTAATTAACAAAAATATTAACAGTTATAGTCAAAGAGGTATGATAAATTATAAAAACATGTTAGGACTCAGTAAGTTTGCATCTGCTATAACTAGCTATATAGGCTCCCTGCTGTGCAAAATGAGAGTGTAGAATGAACTAATCTCATATGTTCTTTCTAGTGGTGTCATTCTGAGTGGAGAGAAAGCTTTTACAGGATACAAAGATCAACGGCACAGAAGTATATTTCTCGTAGCATCAAGACTAATTAGAGTTGATTCATAGCAACAAAAGGTAGGTGACTAATTAATGATCACAAGACTGGAAACCATGAATCTATTATTATTTTTTCATTTTCATCTTTTGAAAAGTTTTTCTCTTCTTGTGTCCTCATAGGAGAATATATTAAGATGCTGGCATCAGTTAATGCATCTAATGGAGTATAACCAGACTCCGGATCTCAGTTCTGATGTGGATAATTGATTTTATGCAGTGCTTAAGCATGCGAATGACACATGTTTAGAAGTCATTCTTTAACCCCATTTTGCATATTTGCAAAGCCTGCAATTTGAAAGCTTTGATGGTAATTTTGCTTATTTATTTGTGATCCAGATGCCTAAAATCTTTCTCATTGTTTACCCTAAATACAACTTCACTATTTTCCCATGACAAGCAAAGCTGATTGATTGCATTTTACATTGGTAGAAGAAGCACATAAGGTATTTCACAGTTTTTCTCATAATTAATTGAGAATCCAACCAGAGCATATGTTTATGTGTCATTAACAATGGGAGAGTGTTAAAGGAAATGGATTCATTTGCACTTATAGCCAATGGTGAGTGAGTGAATGCAAAATCTGCCCTACAATGTTGAGCAAAAGAAAATTAAAAAGTGAATCCATTTAAAATACAATTTGCTTGGCAACTTTTAATTCATAATTAACTAGTGTTTCAGAAAAGATTAATTACATGGTACTAACCATGCAATTATAGTTAAGTTTATTTTTTTTTACTCTTTAAAATTCTAAGCAAGTGGAGCTTACAATATACATACTGATGATTTTTCGGATCCAGTAAATATAATGTCCATCCAAAAAGTTGGAAACTGTAATTACTAAGTACTTACTATTTAACAAATGTGTATTTCTGAGATTGAAGTTACAATGCAAACAACAGTATTTAAAAGTCAAACCTACATTAGAATCATTGAATCCTATTTTTACTACATTACTATGGACCTGTTTTTCATTAGTAAGGATAAAATTGTTGTATCGATCAAATCTGGTCATCTATCAAATTAACCTTCAGCTATATAACATGGGCGCAGGTGCTCAAATTTTCCTTTTCTCATTCCCACAACACACCATGTTGCTTTATGCTTGACTACTTTATTTCTTCTGCTTTATATGACATTTGTATTTTTCTCCAACTGTTTAATTCCAGTTGGTCCTTCAAAATGAAGATGTGCATCCTGTATGGCTGGTGGGTGAAAACCCACCATGTCCCCTGCTAGTTTTATAAATAAAAATTTTTATCAGGACACATCATGCTGTGACTGATAACCATGTTTTGTCAATTTGAGTGAATTAAGAACCACTTAGCACATTAATGAAACACAGTTCTGATTGGTCTGTGGGTAGCTGACATGTAGGGCAGCCAACTGAGAGAAGTAGACTCATGCTGGATGTGGGTAACACCAACCGAAGACTTGCAGCCTATATGGGATAAAACAAGAAAGAAGAAAACTGTGATCCGTCCTGTTTTGTGAGATGTGTAGTTTCACTATTGTCTTGGACATTGGTCTTCGATTTCTTTATTGTTTGAAAGCAGATTCACACCAGTGAATCTCCAGTGAGCCTCCAGATCTTTCACCTGGGAATGGCACTGCATCTTTAATCCTGCTTGTTTTGTGGCTTCCATCGATGTGAGCCAAGAAGCTATTGGTTCATCTGGCTCCTCGGCTTGCAGAACACGATTGTGGATTCTTCTTTCTCTGCTTTTTTTTTTTTTATTGGTACATTTTAGGTATACAGTACAGTTACATTCATTATTGGGATCTTTTACCTTTACATGACAGGTCTTGGTTCTCATTTTTCTCCTTGTCCCAGCCCTCTCTTCACCCTCTCCTCCCCTCCCCATTTACTAACACTTTATTTCCATCTTTTCATTTTCTCACATTTGTTTTCTTTTCCCTTATTACCATTCCCCTACCCTTCCCACTTTCCCTACACCTTTAACCCTTAGTTCTTCTTCCTGTGACCCCACAGATTGCACAGTGGTCTCTCTCATCTCCAGTCCCATAAGCTGAACTAGTAAATCCCCTTGCACCAATATGCATCTGTTTTCTAGTGATTTGATTCCTATAGAGAACCCTAATACAAATGCCCATTCATTTTTTCATGGAGTTTTTTTTTTCTTCACTATAACAGCAGAGTTGAGGAATTGTGACCAAAATTAATTTAGCCTACAAGACAAAAAGAAAAAAAAATGTTAATTAAGGACCTTTCCTCGAACAACTGGCTAAATTGTTATCTGCACAATATCTCATACTGGCCAACCTGACCAAAATCGTGTTTATGTTGATATTTATTAGAAAATGGTGTAACTAAACATTATAGTCATCAAAGTGTAAGAATTCCTTTGTACTACTGGAATTGGAATGATATCCAAATGATATCTCAACTTCCAATGATTTTATACTCAATGACTTATTTTTAAATCCAAACAAAAATATTTGGCATTGTGTCAAGCAAAGGAAAGAAAGGAAAACTGAAAGGCAATAACCACTCTTAGCATTTACAATAATGTTTAGTTACACTATTATGTATCTAATGTATGTATCTTCACTCAAGAACTCTACAGAATGCTAAATAAATTGCTTAGTAATGAACTTTCTGAGTACTTTCAGAAAAATATAAGTTAACCAAGAGTCCTTTTGAAAATCTCTTGACCTTGTTCTATACACAACTTGCTTCTTTCTCTTATTCTGCTCTGCAAATCCTAAGTGCAATGGTCCTCTCAAATTTATTTCTGTCCGTTTGAATAAGCAAGCCTATTGAGTTATGTTTGGGATTTTATTTCACATGCTGAAGCATAAAATGCACTAGATACTAAACTGAGTAATCACAGGGCTCACCGTGCTTGTTTCCTTTTTCTTGAGTTATACAGACTTACGTGGCTGTGTCCAGTGTCTGAACAGCAATACCATATACATTTAGTCTGGTTCTATAATCTTTTTTGGTTTGTTTCAATTTATTAATTTATTTTGCATTTGTCAAATTGAAGTTCTTCTACTAGTTAATACTTCATGGAAAGAAACAAATCTATGTATATTAATATTTTGAGTTTTTACTTACATCAAAAGACCTAGTGATTAGGATGAAGAACTCTAATTATTGTATATATAGAGGATAGACTCTAGATTACTTTATTCCTCATATAATACTTCTATATTAAAGTTTAAATATTAGAAATTTTATTAAAATGTAGCTATGTTGTAAAATCATTTTGATCATTTATATATTATTTCCTATATTATAAATGCAACAAGAATAAATCCATAATTCTCCAGGAAATGAATTTTCATTAAATAATTTTAGAAGAGTGCCATGATATATCTGGTCAGGTTTATTTAGCTGTGCAGAGAAAACTACACATGCATAAGATTGAACTTGATCACTATTTCTTAATCTATACAAAAATAAACTCAACAAGAATCTGAGAGCTAAATATAAAATATGAAACTACTAGTAAAAACAAAACTTATGGGAAACATTTTTAAATATTAGCTTGCATATGATATTTCAAGAAGAGAGTAAAAAAAAAAAGCAAAAGAAAGTAGAATATTAACCTCTATCAATGATTCATTTTTGTCATAGATGTTTTGTGGTTGTGAGTAGAAAAAGAATTCACATCCAGAAACTATTTCTATACAAATAAAGAATTTCACCAACTTCTTCTCCCTGGGTTAGGATTCCAATGGAGTGAAACCATTAAAAAGAAAAAAAAGAGCATTTATTTTACCTACATGCACGTACCAGTAATTAGACACAAAATCTAGTTCTAGGGAAACACATCCATAAACCTATAGAACAGTGATGGTGAATCCTTTAGAGATGAAGCTACAAATCAAAACCTACTTATTTATGGCAAAGGGCCAACAGTGCAATTAAACCTGTGTACTGAAGTTTTAGTTTAGAAAAAAAATAACATACATTAGCATCTTTTGTCTTAAAAGAAAAGCAAGTATCATGCATGCCATAGGTTCGCCATCCCTGCTACAGAAACACAGATGGGTGAAAAAAGAAAAAAATCTTAGCTCTAAAATTTTACATCAGTGTTAGAATGCATGTTTAGTACTGGTCAGGCACTGGGTTCAATACCAATGCTCCCCAAAAAACATTCAAAGGAAGAGAAAATGTCTTCAAGCATTTCTTCTCTTAAACATGGGAAAACAGGGATTTTTAAAAAAAAGAAGTCTAAGTTTTAAATATATAAAATATAGCACTTATAATCCTTACCTAATATTTTTTACCCTATCCCAACAACACTGTCCATTTTCTGTCACATACTGTCGTCATTTTAAATAACAGTAGCCTCTAACTGTCATTTTTAGGCCTCATCACAAAATGTCTTACAAGCTTAGACACAACCACTATTTTTTTTGTTGAAGTTATTTTGCCTGTAAGACAAGACACATTTCTATTTCTCCTCTTACCTCTGTATCTATAATGATGAATCCTCTCCTCCTAAGCTCCAGGTATTGGTACTTGTTACGGTTTTCTTTTAAAATTCTTCTAGTTTCTGTCTACACTCACTCCACAAATGTTCATCAGGAGCCTCGTAATCACATATAAACCGAACACTTGAAAGATTCTATGTCTATCTTAGCCTATTTCTCTGGATGGCCTATTTTCTAATTTTGGTCATTATATGTTTTCACACATCTTCATCTGGATATCAAATAAGTGTTTGAAGTTAATATAGTCAAACAAAATTCATACTATCTCACAACATTAAATTTGTTTCTCTTTTAGTATTCCCTGTAGTAATAAGAACTATAATAAGTAATAAAGACTAAAAGTTGGCATAATATTGATTATTCACTTTAGTTCACAAACACATTGCTACAGAAGGAATCAGGAAGTGACACATAGAGAGGCAGCAGAATGGAAGTCAAATAACAAATTTACTCATTGACCAGGGTCGATCACACATAAGCTGTGCCTAGATCGACAATGCACTGGGTTACAACTCCTCCTTTTATAGGGTTTTACAGCCTTGACTTCATTTGGGTGGTTACATTTCATTCTCACAGTTCAAATCACGGTCACAGGAGAGTTAACTTTCAACCCAGACATAATTCTTTGTAGCTAGGGGAGTTCACTGTTAAGATTCACCTAGTTATCTATCCTAGCCCATAGGAAGGCGTGTTCAGAATCAAGGGAACAGATATTAGCAATGGGTTCATCTTGACACTTTTGTCATCATGTGGCTCCAGTCTCTTCAGAGATCAAGGTCTTGCTGTGCCCTGTTATCTCAGAGTAAGAGCAAATGCTGCATTCAGCAATTAGTGCCTTTGGTGCCTGTTAGTTCTGAGCTAAACAAAGCAAACTGCTGTTAGAGACAGCAGAAGCCATTTTATATTGTAACACTTTGTAGATTTTTGCTATTTATAAAAGTTTTCCCTATCAACATCTGTTACAGAAAATCCTACTTTTAAAACATATCTCAAAGTTTGGTAACAATGCCAGTACCTTAATATAACCCTCATCTTTTCTTATTTGAACAATTATGATAGTCTTCTAAATGGTCTTCTTGGAGGACTTTTTCTAAGATATACTGCAAACCTATAGTTACCAAAACATCACATTATTGGCATAAAAAAAAATCAAGCAGGTGTAGAGGCCAATGGGACAAAATAGAGTAGTACTCAGAAATCACCCCATGCATTTATAGCCAAATGATTTTTGGAGAAAAAAACAGAACCGCAAGATATATTGGCAACAAATGGTATTCGGGAAATTGGAGATTCACGTGCAGAAGTTTGAAACGTGACCCTTGTACAAAAATAAACTTAACAAGGATTAAAGCTTTATATGTAAGATACAAAACAATTAGGAAAAGAAACATGGGGGAATCCTTCAAGACACCAATATAGGTGATGGGTATTTTTGTATGTCCCCAAAATCAAAGGAAGCAAAAGCAATGCTAGACAATAGACAAACAGGATTGTATTTAAAAATAGACTATTATGTGTTTTATGAAAAACTAAAGAAGAGGAGCTCGAACATTCCAAACACAAAGTAATGGTAAGGCGATGTGTGGGGTTAACTAATGCTCAACTTGGGTGGGATCACACAGTGAGGCTGAGTCTTTCAGGCTCAGGGGAGAGTTTAACGCGTATTTCTTTCTGGCTGTTCTTTTCCTCTGAGCTCCCCATCTTCCTTAGGCTGAGTTGTTCTCTTGGGAGGAGCCCTGGTCCTCGCCTTCAACTCAAGCCCGTCTGTCGCCTTCTGGCCCTTGGCACACACACTTGGCTGGGAGCTCTGGTCTTCACCTTTGCCTTGGGCATTGTGTCCTGGTTCACTGTGTGGATTCCCTGCCAGGGAAGACTCTAGCCTCTAGCACGGCTCTTGGACTTTCTGGCACAGATCCTTCCTTCCGTCTTCCGTGGAGGATTCTTAGCCTCCTGGTGCAGACTTGCAGAGGACATTGCTCTGAACTGTAGGCCTTCACCTGGACTAGAGGGGGACATTGCCATGGGATCCAGGCCCTTGGCTGGATTCTACTTATCTGTAGTACACAGACAGATCTCTTTTACTCTTCTACACCTGATTCTAGTAAGTGCTAATACGGGAGATGGAAATAATTATTATACTAATTGCATTGGCATATTGCATTCATGTATTGAAATATCACACTGTACTCCATACTGTGGCTAGTACGTGCTAATCAAACATTTTTCAGAAGTATTAGGGAATGGATATAGCAACTACCCAGATTTTATCATTACATGCAATAGATAATTTGAATGATAACATTGAACCTCATAAAGTTCTACATTTAAATAATAGCAAAGATGCTTTCCTGCAGAGATAAGCTTTATTCACTGAAAAAATTTTATATCACAGCCCTGTTCAAAACATTTTAATGGCATCAATGGACCTTAGCTTCTTGGTCTCTCTGTGACTTCATTTTATGCTATTCTCTATTTCAGTCCCTGTATTCAAGCCATCCATATGTGAGGAAATTTATTATGGCGTTGGCTCACAAGGTCATTGGGATGAAATGTGCTCTAATATGCCTTCTGCAAAGCCTTCTGCAAGGGAAGCCTGTGACATACTCAATCTGAGCGTGAAAATCTGAGACAGGAGTGGAGAGAGAAGTGTGAGTGAATTGGGTGAGCACTAATATACAAGGGCAAGAAAGAGAGGGTGTCCCAGTTTAAGCATAGAAAATTTGAACTTCTTCAATCTTTTTGTATATGTAGATCCTCTAGTATCTTTGACTCAGTCCCTTAATGTTACTGTAATGCAGTGCCTGAAACTAGGTATCTTATAAACAACAGAAACTTATTTCATGGTTACAGTGTTTGGAAAATCCAAGACCAAGGCACCAGTAAATTTGAAATTTGATAGGGACTCATTTTTGACTCACAGGAGGCTGCCTCTTCACAAGACTGAAGGATGAGGGGGCCTTCCTTTTGGTCCCTTTTTTAAGGCCATTAATCCCATTCATGAGTGTTCTGTCTTTATGAACTAATTATTTATCAAAGTTCCTATCTAATATCATCCCTTTGGGGTTGTATTTCCAACACATGAATTTTGAGGGAATATAAATCTTCAGCGCTTTGCAGTCCTGTTGTAAGTATTTCAAAATCCTACTTAGTATATTTAAATACCTTATTTATTTAAACACTTAATTGGATACAAAGTACCAGGAGATGAAAAGGAGTAATAAAGCAAAAAGAGGAATAGAAAACAACCCTTGTCAATACCTGAACTATAGCTTCATTGCAGAAGCTGTTTATAAATGTTCTGTGATGCTTGATGTATAAAAAAGGAGTACAAAGACTTTTGTAAATAGGGAGGGGATGAGGGGTTTAGGGAGAGCAGGGGAATGGAGAAAAATATAAGAACCAAGATAGACTATGTAAAGGTACAAATTCCAATGGTGAATGTCATTATATTGTATACCTAAAATGTACCAATAAAATTAATTTAAAAAAAGGAGTACAACAGGTTCAAATAGTGTCAGCATTTGCAACCAAGGCTTTATTTTTAGTAAAACTGAAGTCTTGCTTATTATTTGTGTTGCTTTCCTCTTACTACAAAAACAAACCACTACAGACTATTTAAAACATGATTTTTTTTTTTTTTGTCTATGGTTCTAGAAGAAGTCTAAAACTATTTTTAGGAGCTAGAAGCCATGGTGTTGGCTTCTCCAGGCATTTCCAGGGAAGGTGTTCATTTTCTTGGCTCTGCGTGCTTCTAGTGGACACCTGCCTTCTTTTCTTGGCTACCCGCTTCATCACTCCACCTGTAAATGACACCACTGCAGTCTCTGCTTCCATTACCAAGTCACCTTTTTTTTCCCTGACTTCTGCTGCTTTCTTCCATGAGAATCACTGTGCAAAATTGAGCTTGTTACAGAAGGAATTGGCAAGTGACAGACACACAGAGAGGCAGCAGAATGAAGTAAAATAACAAAAGTTTACTCCGGCGATGGGGAATCCATGACACCTAATGGTGGTGCCCTGATCAATCCAGTACTCAGCTGTGACTCCCGCTTTTATAGGGTTTTACAACCTTGCTCTCATTCAGAGGTTACAATTGCTTTTTCACAGTTCCATGCAAAACATGTTGGCAAGGCAGGTGAATTTCAACATAGATGTAGTTCTTTGTGAGGAGAGGTTATCTTTAAGATTTATAGTTATCTCTTCTACCCAAGGAGAAGGGAGTGTATTTGGTCAGCAAAGCTAACAATGGTTCTTTTCATTTACAAAACTTTTGAGGGAGACTAGATGCCTCCAGGGCAGGTTAATTCTGAACTAAACCCAGGGAAGGGCAGAAGTTATCTTACATTGTGACATTTCCTAGGTTTTGCTATTAAAGTTTTCTCTATCAAGCTCACCTGGAGAATCCAAGAGTGACTCTCCATCTCAGTATCTTTCATTTAATGACATTTGCAAAGTCCATTGCCATGTAAGTTAACATTCACAGAACCTCAAGAGTAGGATGTAGGGGCTTGTTCAGCATACCATTTGATTTTAAGTCACACAAACTTGATCCTAAATGTTATTTTGACTTTCACAACACTTACTAATGTCAGTATGAATAAAAGTGTCCTGGTTGTTATTGGGGAAAGCAAAGTGAGAAATATTCCTGATTTTTCATAAACTCATAATTTACTGGTCAAGCCCAATGCAGAGCCAAATGTAAATAGATTCAGATAGAATCTAGCATGTTTTCACTTTTTATTTTTTATTACAAAAATAGATGTGTTTTGATGCTCTGAATATTTTCACAATTCAATTGTTCAAACCAACAAGTACTGAAACTGGTAATTTTATTGTAGCGTTGCATTCAGAGTTCAAAGCCTATGACATTTAAAAGGTCATAACTAATGCCACTTTTTAATGATGTTTGAATGTTTTCTGAATTTATAGAATCATCTTCCTTGTTATCTGAAGCAATAAGTTTCATACCTCTGAATGACAGTATCTAAACCAGTAGTTTCTAAACATTGATTTTTGTTCTCATGTTCCATGATTTTACTTGTCTGAGATGAATGAGGAAAAAAATGTACAATGTCAGAGTTACTTACAACATTAAATCTATTCAGTTTTAAGAGTCTCCTTCCTGTGCTGCACAACATGTATTTTTTTCAAGAAATTGTAGAAAAGGTGATTATAACTATATGTTTTCACTTAAAGTATAATGTCATAGCAAATGTATGTCAATAGCAAATTAATACAAATACACATTCATGCACACATGCACACATTTACATATGCATATACATAAATATAAACAGAATTATTATTATTGTTATTAATTAGAAACTAATGATCTACAGCTTTAACTTGAGGCCCTAGAATATACTAGTATTACTAATAACATCTTTAACCGTATTTTTAATCCTTCATTAAAGTGAAAAAAGACAAAGTCTTAGATATTATAAAGCAATGATTCAATGATTTAATCACATAGAGGTAATCCATTATGAAAAATATTCATTGTAGAATGCTAGGTACAAACAATATTGAGAATGGGATATTTGTTAAAGGAAACAATAGCGGACATGCACTCTCAAGTTCATTGCAACATACCTCACAATAGTCAGGCTACCAAGTAACCTGAATACCAATTAACACATATATGTATAAAAACAGGGTGCACACACACATAACCAAATGCTGTTACACCTTGAAGAAGAAAGTCCTGCCATTTATTGTTATTATGACATATTGGATGAGTCTAAAGGATGAAATTTTATGTGCAGTAAGCCACACACAGAAGGACAAATATTCCATTACCCACTAATATGGGGAATACGAACATAGCTGAATTCTTAGAAGGAGAGATTAGAAGGTATGTATAATCGTGCCAAAGTTGTGTGGTACAAAAATGGGGAATGGTGTCCAAAGGGTACAAACTTGAAGTTATAAAATGAATACATTGTAGAGACCTAATGTTTAGAATGAATATAGTTAATAATGATATCCTACATAATATTCACTAGAGAGAAGATCTGAAGTTTTCTGACCACAAGGAGGTAACTGTATGGAGTAATGGAGTGGTATAACAAAGAACATAATACATTACTTGGTAGTGTGGGGTAATACAATAAATATTGCAACAAAGTGGGACTTACTCAGATAATAAAATATAAATTTAATATTTTAAGATAAATCAATAGAATTTAGGATACAAAATTAGTAATGGATAAGAATCATATTTTATTTTTAATAGGTGTGGAAAATAGATCTGAATTCAATACCTGTTTTTTATAAGAACTCTTTAGAAAATTGATATATGCAAATGTAATATATATATACAAATGTAATATATATATATGTATATATATATATTGCCAACGAGTAATGTAATGAAGTTATAACATTTTCCATAATTAATATGGATTTGTTAAATTGGACTAGGTATTAACTTTTTTTTCCAGGTATTATGCAGGTTATATACTGAGGCATTGTGTACAAAGAAGTCATACTACAGCATAACTTGTCGACGATATTGTCAGAAATATCAAAATTATGCTGACCGCATACCTTTTCATCTTTTAATATCATCCTCATTTTTCTATATTATTCCTTGCTACTGTCTTAAAAGATTTACATAAAAATCTTTGTTTTTGATACTAGCTATTCCATTCTAAAAAATAGATGATAACTTAGATCATGTTAGGCTGCTAAAACAGACCATCATATTCTGGGAAATTTATCATGACCAGAAGTTTATTTGGTTTATAGTTGTTGATGTTGAGCTCAAGATCAAGGAATCATGTCTTTTTATTGCATCTTAACTTGGTGAAAGGCATCACATGGGCAAGACACACCAAAACAATGGACTTGAACTCTCAGCATCAAGCCCTTTTATAATAGATATTAACTTATTTAGTAGGGTGAAAACCTCATGATCTACATACTTTCTACAAGGCCCCATCTTCGAGTGGTGTTGCATTAGGGATTTTGCTTCCAATACATGATTTGGAAAGTTATGTTCAAACTATAGTTGAAGACATTCTCAATCTTATAGAGGATACATTAAAACGTTACAGGTAAAATACTTAATCATGAGAAACTAAAGATTTTTTTCTGTAAAACTGAAAATTTTCACTTTGGCAACTTTTAGGAAAAATTTTACTAAAAGGTACAGTGGTACTTCTGTTTACAAACTTAATTTGTTTTATTATTTGGGGCAAGATGCCTGTGTTTGTGTTTGTGTGATGAAGATGCCCATGTTCATGTTTGTCTCCCAATGTGGAGTTTGTGCAAATGGAAGCAAAATTTTGCACAGTGCTTTTGTTTGAGAACCTAATTGTTTGCAAACAGATGTGTTGGTGAACCAAGGTACCATTGTGTACTGATTTTAAGATACACTTACCATGAAATTAGTGTAATCAAGGGTTGTAGTAGAACATAAGTCTGAAAAAGAAATAAGTGGGAAAGGTGGAGAAGGAAGAGAAGCAGTGGAAGAGGAATGATAGAAATCAGCTACATGACGACAGTCTAGATGGGAGAGTGATCCATCCGTAAGTGGGAGTTCCACAAGATGAATGAAAGCATTATGTCTCACAACATATACAAATAAAAAACAAATCACTACATATATGGTTACTCCTCTATTTATGATGAAATTAAATCTTACCATACCCATTATAAGTTGAAAATGCCGTAAGTGAAAAATGCACAGCGGAGTGTGGTGGTGCATGCCTGTAATCCCAGCACTCGGGAGGCTGAGGCAGGTGGATTGCTGGGAGTTCAAGATCAGCCTGGGCTACACAATGAGTTCCAGAGCAGTCTGAACTACATAGTGAGACCCTGTCTTATGATGAAATTAAATCTTACCATACCCATTATAAGTTGAAAATGCCGTAAGTGAAAAATGCAC